GAAGTGAATGGGAATCACGGCTTTGAGAGTCATAAAACATACACAAACAAAACCAAATTAAACCCTGCGGCTCGTGACGATACATTGATGTGTAAAGACATAAAACGATTGGTCTGTGCAAGAAACTGAACAGTATTTATATCGTTTTTTACCTCAGATTTTCACCGCAATGTCTGAACTGTCCTGAGCGCGTTCACATCTTCTTCAGCCTGTGCGTGAGGCGTCTTCTTCTTCTTCTTGCTTTACGGTGGATCGCAGACTTATAAGTGCACTATCGCCACCTATCTCTCAAATTGACCATTGACACTCCTAATTGAGATTGTAGATAGAGTGTCAATGGTCCATTTGAGAGATAGGTGGCGGTGTGTCACGAGCCACAGGGTTTAATTTGGTTTTGTTTGTGTATGTTTTATGACTCTCAAAGCCGTGATTCCCATCCACTTACATTATACCACTGACAGACTGCAACGGTTTGAGTTAAAAATCTCCGTTTGTGTTCTACTGAAGAACCAATGTCACCTATATCTTGGATGCCCTGGGGGTAAGCAGATAAACAACACATTTTCATTTTTGGGTTAACTATCCCTTTAATATTTTTGTGGAAAGCCTGATACATTTTATTCACGATTCTTTGATGAACAGCATTTATTTGAAATAGAATTTTTTGTAACTTCCTAAATGTCTTCTGTGTCACTTTTGATCAATTTAATGCATCCTTGCTCAATAATAGTATTAATTTCTTTCACAAAGTAGGCTAATGTTACATAGCACACCTGTGTCCACTTTAGCCCATGGACCAATTGTAACTGGAAAAACTGTTCTTTTGTAAGGTACACATTCAGTTTCATAGACTTACCCCAGATGATTTCAGCTGTTTCTGCTGGTCTATTTTGATGAGCTGAACCTTGGCTTTCTTGAGGAGGTTGAACATGCGCTTGTTGGCTCCTGTAAGGCGAGGATGCTGAATGGCAGTTTTCTCCTCAACGTCAACGGCATGTTTCGGAGAGCCCTCAGAAACCGGCCCTTCTGAATCTGCGTGATGCATCTCATCAAAGTCTGAGAAAGAAAAAAATATCGTTGAGTGTTGAGACCAACAGACTGACAACAAGTTAAGTAGTACTTAGTAAACCTTAAAATCAAAAGAAAATGGCATTTGCAATGAAATACAGTTGAAGAAAACATTACCGTTAATCAATGTTAGATTAACTGTAGTGCTGTCCTACGATTAATCGCATCCAAAATAAGTTTTTGTTTACATAATATATACGCATGTACTGTGTATATTTATTATGTATATATAAATACACAAAAATGCATGTATATATTTAAGAAAAATATGTTTTGTTTATATATAATATAAATTTTAGATGTAGGGCTGGGTATCGTTCAAAAATTGTCGATATCGATACCGATACCCTGACTTCGATACCGGTTCCTGAACTATACTTTTTTCGATACCGATTTTATGAAATCAATTTTAAGTAGATTACATTATCTAAAAAAAATTTTCAGCTTGTTGATATTTATAAAAACTCAAAGACTCCTCTCCTGAGCCACTGCACAAAGGAACAAAATGTAACCAACATAATAAATCAGTGCAAAATAGTTTTAATAAAGCTCAAATAGTCTTCAGTTTACACATCTTTTAGGCTACATTTACACTAGTTAGTGTTCGTTTTAAAATGCATAGCTCAGGCAGAATCATGATTTCTATTTATTTTCCACTGATTTACTGATGAGCATTAGCAGCTTTCAGCGCTGTCTGCTTGTGTTCTCTCTTCCATGATTGCTGCTCTGACTCAAGAGGTAATAACATATTTAATTTCAGCAACTTTACATGGCCAAAACACACATTAGACGTCAATCAGAAGTTATTACAAACACTCGATGCTGGTTTAAAGTGAGTTTTGAGTAAAAGCGGAATATAAATCTTATTTATTGTCTTATGTAGCATGATGATACAGTTTGCATGAATGGTCACATAACACGCGCTTTCGGTCGTGTAACGTTATTTTTAAAATACATACATGTATGTTTGTTAGGGGTGTCGAAATTAATCGCGATGCAGACAAGGACGATTCGGTATCGGTTCAGTAATACACCATAACCGATTATAACGTACTGACGCTTTTCTGACGTCATTTGTCGCATACGTGCTTTGTCGCAGTAGCATACATTAGGCGCGTTCGGCTTGAAGCGCCGTTGCGCAGGATGATCAGTGTATGACATCAAGTACCGTGAGAGCGATAAGAGAGCAGACGGATCCTTATGCTTTCGAATCGCTCTTGCGGTTGATGTCATACACTCATGCAGTGCCACTTCAAGTCGAACGCGCCTAATGGTGGAGGGTGGTGAGGTGCGAGTGAGAGTAATTAAAAATGCTCCAACTACTTTAAAGCCGACATCTGGTCACATTTCGGCTTTTAAGAACAACCTGGTAAGCACGACCTGGAGAAGACACACGCTGTGTGTAAATCATGTCACGCACAATAAAATATGCAGGGGGTAATACCACTAACTTGAGAAACCACGTCAGGTACAGTTCATATATCTGACTGCTTGTATTTACTGACAAAATTGTATACATGCAAAGTAAAATTCGTTGATTTTAAAATTGTGATGCATCATGATATCGAATTGAACCGAATCGATGACATGATAATTGTAATCGAACCGAACCGTGAAACCAGTGTAGGTTCACACCCCTAATGTTTGTGTATTTATATATACATAATAAATATACACAGTACACATGCATATATTATGTAAACAAAAACTTTTATTTTGGATGTGATTAATCGCGATTAATCATTTGACAGCACTAACTGTGTTAACTCACAGGACAATTTAAGAAAGACAATTTAGAAGACTATTTAAGTCTTTTTAAGAACATGCATTACGAAAGTCAATTTTGATTTCATGTTTACTTCAAGTCAGTTAACGTTAATTTGTTATTAAAGGTTTAGAAAAATCTAATCTTAACCTACCTTTGCATTTGTTTGGAAGTGAGATGTCTGTATGAATGGAGAACTCATCTGGCAGGTCATCCTCTTGGATGTGTTTCGCCTGGTGTTGCGCCAGCAGCTTGGCACTCAGAGCTCGGACACAGATGGAGACTTTGCGAACAACCCCAGGGGTGTTGAGATCCTCAATCTTGAGTTTTGCTTTTTCCTTCTTCATGTCTTTGAGAGACTTTATTAGACTGGCACCTTCTTCCAACTCCTCCTTCTGTGTCTTAGCAGGGGATGATACAACTTGAACCATTTTGTCCTTTGGGGCCTTTTTACGCCTTGCCAGACTCTGTTTGAGTTTAAGCTTTTTGTATAACCTCAATTTTGATGATTGCGCTTTGAATTTGGTGGACTTTTTCTTCTTTTGGATGGGATCAAGAAACTGGTCCACTGTAAAATCTTTGGCAGATAGCAAGGTATCCAACTCCTTGTCAAGATCTTCATTGAAGGCATACACGTCGTCACTGGCAGGCTCTAGCACTCCCCATTTGAAACCGGGATCTCTGAGTAGCGATCGTCTTTTCCCAGGCTGCTTCTCCTCACTGAAGATCTCAGTGTCATCGGGTGATTTAGGTTTTGATTCCCAAGTGGAAGTCAAATCAAGATCAGCTTCACTCAGACCGTTATCTTCATCCTTAGACTGAAAGGATTCAGGTTCACCTTTTTCACTAGAATCACGCTTCTTTGATTTTGGTTGTAGGCCAAGCTTCTTTTGGGAGTTCTTGCGAGGAAGGTCTGACATACCAAGATCATCCATGAACCTCTTTGGCGTTTTGATAACCCGAGAGGATCGGGCGCTCACGACTGGCATTATGAAATGTCTAATGGTTTTCATGAACTTCGTTTTGCTTTGTTGGATGTCCTGATCTTGGTCAGTTTTCACAATCACAGAATCCCTTTCTGTCTGATCGGAAAGCTGATCTCCGTTGGTGTTATCCAGCTGCTTTGATAAGAGCTTGGCCTTTTTCCGTCTACCCTCTAATGACTGAAGACTCGATATTCGTTTCCTCTTGTACTTTGTTGAGAATATACCAAAGAGTTTAGGCTCTTCTACTTCAGAAGAAGACTTTCTACTACTCGTTATCGGTGGGAAATCTTCACTAACCTCAAACAACTCCTTCTTTTGCAATTTTGAGTTTTTAATCCGCCGGCCAATCAAAGATTTTCGTCTTCGTTTGACCCGTTTCATTCGTCTGCGAGAAGGACGAAGCACCTGTGGGTGATCTTTTACGGAAGGCTCTAATACTAGAACCTCTTCAGTTTCAATCGATGGTGCCTCAAGTTTTATTTCTGGCTGGGGTTCTGTCCCAAGAAATGGGTTGGTTGGAGGTGATTCAACACTTTGTTCGATGACCTGAGGTTTGGCGGCTTCAGGTAATGGTTCTGTAGTTGGTGGAACTGACCTTTTACCTATTTTATGCATAACTTCACTTGAATGCCTATTTGGTTTGGATTCTACAGGTGCTGGGACTGCTGTTGGTGATACTGGTGATTCCTCCACCTGAGATTCGGTTTCAGTTTCAGAAGTGGGGTTTTCTTGAGATGCATTCAATTTACATTTTCGCCTGTAAATTGTCCAGTGTTTATGTTTTGCACGCTTCTTCCGAGCAGTGTTTTGATGTTGCCTTTTCCTTACTTGTGGGGTGGCAGTGGCAGCAGTAATTTCCAACACATTCTCACTCTTCTCTGAATGCTGAGGGTCTTCAACTTTTGAGGGCTCTTTTCTTTCAGGTGAGGTTGTGACTTGCTGAATTAAAAAGGACTGCTTTAGACTGTTTTTTTTACCTGGTGAGGAGACAACTTTGATTTGAAGTGGTGGAACAGTATCCTTACTGATCAGATCTTCAGGGTCCGTCTGAGTGGCCTCTTCTGGATGTGCTTCTGTTGCAATTTCTGACCTTTCAAGAACCCCCTCGCTTTCCTTTTCTGGGGTTTCCTCAACCTTCTCAATGGCCACGGGGTTCTCTGTGCTTTCGGGAATTACAGCACCGACAGTGTTCTCTACGTTTTGTGACTCCTGCGAAGAGCCAGTTTCCAAAATGTTGGAAGGAGTGGATGTGGATTCTGCTTCTGTAGAAACATCTACTTCCTCGTCACATTTAGGAGGAAGTTCTGCCTCTGTACTGGGGCTTTCGTCTACTTTGCTTGGACTCTCTTGGATTTGAGAATCTTGGCTTTTGATTTCTTGTGTTTTGCCGAGATCATCTTGGACTTGGGAATCTTTGCTTTTGCTTTCTTGAGTATTACTTAGATTCTCTTGGATTTGGGAATCTTTGCTTTTGCTTTTCACCAGAGTGAGAGTCCACACAAACTTGCAGCGTTTCTTGCGAGACCGGGCTTTTGGGTTTCGTATCCTGGTTAGTTTTAGACCTGGAATTCCGACAAAATCATTGTCGAAAGCGAGCTTTTGAGGATCATCAGCTGAAGGGCCAAGATCTTTTGCTGATGGTGAATGAGGCTCTTGTTTCCTTTCAGATTCTTTGCGATTTTTCTTCTTCTTTTTATCTTTTTTCTTCTTTGAAAGTGGCCTGGATTCATCAATTGTGGAGACCTCCAACAGCGACTCTACTAAACTCTGGTCACGAGATTCCTGTGGAACATTTGAGGACCTTCTGCGCTGCCTCATAATCACAAGCTTATTTACCTCTGATGCTTCTATTGCTGACTTTTCATCAGGTTTTGGCTCTATACTTTCACTGGGCAGTGGATTTTGAGACCTTCGAGTTGATTTCCTCAGCTTCAGTTTTTGCTCATTGCCCTCTTTTTCAGGATTTGTTTGTGGAGTGGATTCTGATTTTTTGTCAGCAGATCTTCCTCGCCTTCTAGTGCAAACCTCCTCCTTTGCCTCACCAGCACTGCATTCACCGGCTGCTACATTTGTCTTTAATTTCACATGAGCACTTGAGATTTGGGCACACTGACTCTCTGTAACTTCAGATTTGATTTCCTTTTGTTTTTTACCAGATTTACATTGCACTGACGGGACTGTAACCACTTTCTTTTTAGCCACCAACTTGATTGTGATTCTCGGAGTCGACTGGGTCTTCTGTTTTGTCAATCCTCTTTTTCTCCTGGTGCGCTTCTCTGATCCTCCATCACCACCACCACCACCACCATCATCTACTGATATGTCCTTCAGAGACTCTTGACTGTGGAGTTGCTGAACACAACCTGAATCATTTTGAGGATCTTGTGAACCTGTGCTTCCCACTAAAGGGGACACTGGAAGAGCCCGTCTTTGACGTATCCTCTTTGACGACTTTGCTGAAACACGATCACCTGAAACAGAACAAGTTCAAATACAATTAAATTATATTCATTCTACTGTGGTTAAATATAACCAAGTGAATCAAACAATTAAAGGTGACATTTCATGAAAATCTGACTTTTCCAGGTTTTAAGTGCTATAATCGGGTCCCCAGCGCATCTACCAACCAAGGAAACGTGAAAAAGATTAACCCAGTAACTTTGTTTTGGGAAGCCTTTTTCTGCAAACATCTGAGAAAACGAGCGTGTCTGATTTCGCTCCCTTGGTGACGTGGCAAAGGGATCTCATTATAATATGACCGCCCCTTAATCTGTAAGTTTACACCCCCGGCGCCGTTATTGTATTTTCGCAAGCGACAACGGTGTACCAGTTCTAATGCCATGGCGAAAATTTGAGCAAAGCATGCTAACTGTTCGGTCTTTGGCTGCACAGACGAGCACAGAACACTATTTAGAGTCCCAGCCTCAGATGAGACAAGAGAGCAGTGGATTTATTGATTTATTTACTGTATATTGCTGCTGCTACAGAGATCTAAAATAAAAATGTGATTTATTTCCCAGCTGTTTACCTTCACAGACATAACCGACTGTTTTTTGTACGTTAACTCGTGTGTTTTTAACGAAAACTTGTGTGTGAATGAGAACTTAGTTTAGTACTCAGATGCTGTGACAGCTGCTTTCTGTCCATGTGCTTCGGATGTGTGCACTCAGAAAACCGTATATCAGAAGTTTAAACTCATATGGTTTAAAACGCATGATTTCAGCGCGATAAACATGATAATCAGAACCAAAACAGATGTTTTTTTTTAGCAGGTACGAGCTGTAATGGCGCAGCTCTATTCTGGAAAAGGGGGCGGGGAGCAGCAGCTCATTTGCATTTAAAGAGACAGGCCCAAAAAACAGTGTGTTTCTGATTCCACTCAAAATAGGCATTTTCAAAATGATATAATAAATGATCTGTGGGGTATTTTGAGATGAAACTTCAGACACATTTTGGGGACATAAGAGACTTATATTACATATTGTAAAAAGGGGCATAATATGTCTCCTTTAAATCACAGGCTACAGTGACTATCAAGCAGAGACTGAAATAGTAAGTATTATTTAAATTAGCTACACCAACACTGTTTATTCTGGAGTCCTTGAAGTGATGCTCTGCTGTACAAGATGAAAAATTACTAAAATTACTGGTGGGTTTTATTTTTTTTAATTGTATGGGATGATTTTAAGATAAAAAAAGCTATGCAAACACAATGAAACAAAAGACTTTTGGAGATTCTTAGGATAATTTGCATCTGAAGTCACACTTACGTTTACATGATTTTCGTCCAGCACGAACCGGGGCACTGCTATTTTCATCTCGAACTTCAAAGCCTTTGAATTCAGCTCCCTGAAAGTGAAAAACAGAAGCAAGCTTTAATACATTTGAATTTAACGTGTAACGTGTTTCAAGTAAGTATACATTTAATTTTGTTTGTTGTCTTAGCAATCCTCCACATTTGATAAAGTATAACAGTTCACATCACTATATACTGTAACAGTACACATTACATATACATACACCACAGTTCAAAAGTTTGAGGTCGATAAGATTTGTTTTTTTTTAATACTTTTAATATTTATATTCAGCGAGTCCACACTAAATTGACCAAAAGTGACAGTGAAGACATATCCATTTTAAATAATCACTGTTCTTATAAACTTTCATTTCTTTAAAAATCCTTTAAAAAACATTCATTAATATTAACAAATTAAGCACCACAACTGTTTTCAACACTGATAATAATAATAAGAAATTATCCTCAAGCACCAAATCAGCATATTAGAATGATTTCTGAAGGATCATGACACTGAAGTTTGGAGTAATGATAGGGCTAGGGCGATAAATCGATTTTCAGAATGCATCGCGATTCTGAGCTTAGACTTTAACAGCAGATGGTGCTCTAATCTAGTTTTTATCCGCACACTTAAATGCTCATGGAGAACAGCGCGTAAGAGCGCTTGTGCGTTTGGCTGAGTCATGTAATGTTAATTTCACCTCAGCTCAAAATGCTTTTATGACGCGAGATTAATGTAAACACAGCCCACTGTGAACACCCTTGTAATTCGCTTCAACCTTTTTTAATTTTATGAATGATTATTTTAGGTTCAAGTGTGTGTAAGGATTTGGAAACAAGCAGAGTACGGCTGTTTCTAAAGCATGCAGTGCCATCTGCTGTTCAAAACTAAGCTCAGAATCGACTCAAGAAAGAATCGCGATGCATTCGGAAAATCTCAGAATCGATGCTGAATCATTTCTCGATTCGCGATGCATCGATTTATTTTCCCAGCCCTAAGTAATGATACTGGAAATTCAGTTTTGCCATCACAGGAATAAAATATATTTTCAAATAAATTACAATAGTAATTTATTTTAAATATATTTTATAATTCATTTTATTTATAAAAGTCCTTCGTCACATTCAGAATGCTGCAATACATAAGATTAAAATTGCATCAATAAACGGAAGCGCAGCTTTGGTGAACAAAAGCAAAAACATTAAAACAATTTTACAGACTCCACACTTTTGAACTGTACATAGGCCTAAACTGTGTACATAAGAAAAAAATGCCAGTAAAAAAAAAAACTACACCAAAAAAGGTACAAAACAAATTCTAATTAATATTTTTGCATATTTTAAAAAAATGTTGCTGAACCTTTAAAAACAAGGTAACGCATGTTTCAAGAAACCACTGCACATTTATAAAGGGGTTGTTATTATTCATAAAAGTTTTGTGACACTTTTCTGCATAAAGGGGCAAAGGGTATGTGAATGTCTTGTTTGAGATTCAAACTGTTAATAACAACATACTGAATATAACAGAACACTACAACAAAGTAATGCCATTTCTGTGTTGACAAGGACTTTGGAAGTAAATTAAACACCGAATTGTAGAAGACATTACTCCCTTATTCTTGTTCCGCACTTCACAGAACACTGTTCATGCTCAAAGACAAAGAAAGAACTGAACTGTAACAACAACTATTTGGTTGTGTGAAACAACGCAACTGGAACAACTCTGCTGTTAACCCCCCTAGTGAACTTGAAAATAACGGATTAATTATTTAGTATTATGAAAAAGTCCACAGGTAAAGTGCAGTTCACTAATACATTATCTGTTATTTTAACAATGTTTGAAATATAAAAAAAATATATATATATATTTTAAGTTTAAATTGTCAAACACTGGTCAATATAATGTCCTATACACAATATTTAAACAGACAGCATTTTGGTAGAGCCTGACCCTGTACACTTGTAAAAAAAAACTCTGTACAAATAGAGTTTACAGAACTTGTTAACTGAAACTGTAAAGTTAAACTTCACAGACGCTAATACACAGACGATGGCCCCGTATCTATTTTTATATGAGGCAAGCATCAGAGCATGTCTTCAAGCCCACAAAACTTTGACCTTAACAATTAATTTTTTTTCATTTTCAGCTGCGTGTTTCTGCTCAGAGAACAGATCACAAAGTAACCATAGCACATTTCCATGCCAATGATACATGACGCACTGAAGAAACAAGTGCAACAGCATGAAAGCAAAGACATATAGGGTTCCCACGCCTTTTTGAGCAATGAATTCACATGACGTTTTTGGTTGTTCGAGATTTCTGAATAGAGCATTTTAATAATTCTTTTAAACAGAACACTAATGAAGCTAATTAAATATTAAAAAGCCAAGCAAAACTATAAAACCACACATTTCCATGACTTTAGCTGGTGTGGAAATCTCAAATTTGCTAGTATTTCCAGGCAATGCTGTACATAACACTGACCAGCACAGACAATAACCATATATCAAATATAGTCTAATTTAATCAATAAACTAAAACAGTTACCACATTTTTTTTACAACAATGACTAGTTCACACTAACTTTTAAAGGGGTCCTGAACTGCCTTTGTTTTTTATTTAGTACTGTTCTCAGAGGTCCACTTATAATGTTATCAAGATTTTTTACATCAAAAAGCATCATAATTTAGAAGTAATAGGCTATTTGCTGTCCTGTTTTGACCCCCCTCATCAGAACGCTCTGTTTGAATAGGCGTGGCGGATTGTAGACTCGGAAGTAAACGCCCACTGCTATGATTGGCTAACAGTTGTGTATGTTTGACAGCCTACATCCTTCATAGATGAACGCTGCTGCGATTTAAGTGAAAAACACAAGAATACTCAGTACATATCAAATGATCCGTTTAACAGACAAAGCAATAGTGACCATGTCATAAAAACAGTTACTCCCACTTGCATGGTGCAACATTATTGTCGGATCAAATATATTCAGTACAGCATCGTCTTTTAGTTTCAATCTTTCTGAAAATCCTGCGTCGAATTGTGCCTTGTTTGTAAACGAATCTGCAGTCAAATGAATTGAACAAAGGACCGAGATCTTACTGACGCGATCTGCAACTTCATTAAAAATCAAGTTTAACCACTCTTTTCTAATGTTGGGATCAGAAGGAAGGCAATGCAAAGACTGTGTTTTTCCACAACGTCTTGTTGTCTTCGGAGCCATCTTTATCGTTTGGTTTCTGCGTAGCCCTGCGTTTGTCTCTCTCGTTATTCACTTACATGCGTGAATCGGTGGGCGGAGCTAAACAGGCAGTGATTTTTGTGGGGTTTAGGCCACACTATTACATCATAGAGCGGCACATTCCACAAGCAGTCATTTTGGCAGATTGGCTTCAATATAAGCTGTTTTTAGATTAACAATAAAGTTTTGAGTAGTGAATCTTATGGGATGTTTTTATAGTACAATGACCTCTTATATGCCAAAAGATTTTGATTTCTCGGTTCATGATCCCTTTAACATTTTGAAAACTCTCACATTAAAATCCCAACATGTAATAGGCCTATATGTTGATATAATATAGCTAAGCCTTCACAAATGTAACAGGTTTGACAACGTTGTCGTTCTTTATTAGCTCTGTGCTCAAGGTCATGATGCTACAAAAAAAAGCCAATATTGCTTGCTAGTACAATTATCCAGTTTTCGATTATCAGTCGTTTACTGCACAAAACCATAGTAACAGGGCTGAGCATTTAAATTAAAATAGTTGCCTACCGACAAAGCTAACAAAACGTATGTGATAAAGTTCACATCTGAACTGGATGATGATGATGTCATCATGAACATTTATAGAACCTCAAAGCAGTTTATGATGGTTATGAAGCTAACTAGACTGATAAATAACCAGTAAAATATTACACCAACTAAAATATAAATATGTTGAGAGACAGACAGAATAAAACATGTTAGATTTTATTTCTACATATGGTTTGCAATAAAAATACGCCTTTGCACCATGTGTTGCTAACACACAAGGGAATTTAGAAACTCTGATTAGGGACAGGCTAATATGCATCACAATGGACAAAAAGAAGATGCATATTAAATAAGAAATAAATCCACTGGATTTAGGCTGACATGTTAAGATAAAACCTAAGTAACACAGTAAAAGTTAGTGTCAGCTTTGCATTGATAAAGTCACTGTCTATATACATATTTATTGTCTCAAGCCTATTCACTCTAAGCATCAAACTAATATAATTGTTCTTCACTGCAGGTGATCAAGCACTGAATGCTCTTATCAGCAATCTGTCACAAGAATCAAGTCCAGCAAACGGGGTGTTGCAACTGGTGTATGCATAGAAATAAAAATATTATGTCCAAAAAGAAACAGATAACGCATACAGTAGCGTTTATATGCAACTTATAACTGTAGGAGTTAAACAAAAAAAATCTAACTGCATGATCTCTGACCCTCATTCTGCTATAAGCTACAATGCTACAGTAATTGCCCCCCTCCCCCTCCGTGTTTTAATGTAACGCTTCACGGCAGACACTGCGCTCGCGCTACTTGTATTCTTACTCCTTCCTATGAAACACGGTCACGTAAAACAAGCTCACACTGGTGCATTTGAATACTGCTGTGAAAAACGACAGATCGGCCCATGCACTCACCTCTTCGCTCCCACTCGAGCTGTATCCAGCCTCTCCCAGGCTCTTGTAGCTCTCCTCAAGCCCGAGAAGGCGCAAGTGAGACTGGTCCTCGTTCAGCGCGAGCACCAGGCAGGTGGGCCTCGGGCCTCCGTTGGAGGAGATCTCGTCAAGATCTGTCCCTGAGCGGCCGAGCTGCCATCGCTTCTCCGAACGCAAACGGCTCCGCGACGACCAAGGCCGACCGGGGAAGCGACCCCGCGCCGCGCCCACAACGGCAGCCGCGGTTGCTGATCCGCATCCCGCTGCCGCCATCATCGCATCAACAACAACACCGATAGACAGAAACTCAGGCTGCGAGAAGAGGGAACGCACTGATGGGGGTGGACGCCCGGTGCACTATGGGACGTGTAGGCTGAGAAGGAAGTGTTTCCACAACTTCTGGATAGAGCTGTCAAGACAAAGATTGAATATACATGATATCTTTTTTTTTTTTTTTTTTTTTTTTTTTT